GATTTGAAAATAGTGTGAAACTTCAACTTCAAGATAATTTATTTGATGGTAAGCTTTAAATCAGTTACTGATTTGATTGAGTGAAGATGTACAAAAAATCTAAAATACCTTATTTTTTACTAGAATCAAATATTTTTTTTGATAAAATTGGAAGTGAAGATCAAGTATATTTTTAAGAAAATTATTGGTTGTGTTAATTACTTCACCAGTGTATTTGGGAGATATGAGTTTCGATAATACAACAAGGGCCACCAATTTCATGTTATTTTTTTGAAATATGTGATAGCTTCGAGTCTATTATTTTTAATTTAAAAACTTAACATTTGTTATGTTTAGATTTTGAATTCTTAGAAATTTGAAAAATATTGTACATATTTATATTTTAAGACTTCAAATTATAATTTTTTGATATAAAAGCCCATTTTTGAAATCTCTTGCATCAAATATTCTCACATAAGCAACTCTCACCGTTTGCCCTTAAAGAAATCTACATTTTCAAATTATTAATATATCTACATAGATTTAATACTACTCAATCATACCATTACTCGATTTTATATTCAAATTATATAAACAACTTATTAAACGAATAATTTTACTCACGACTATCGTCGACCCGACCACCCAATGGAGAATCCGACCCGGTTCGCGCAGTTCCCATTCCCATTTTCCTCGCCGCTTGCCCTCGCTAATTGTGAAGTGCATTAGGGTTAGGGTTAGGGTTAGTTTCGCGAGCCCGTGCTGCTTCAATATATAGGTCAAGGGCAGCCCTGTTGTTGTGAAATGAATCCACTGGCAGCCACCCGTTTATCAGGCTTACTCGGTTTCGCTATTTTTTGCTTTATTTTCTGCTTGTGATTGTTCGGCCTTTAATCGTGGATTATGACTGACTCAATCGATTGTTCTCTGTTTGCTTGCATTAAATCTGCAATATTTTTTCAAATCCCATTGAATTTCTTCTAATATATTCTGCATTATTGCATTCTTCTGCAAGTTTCAGTCTGTATGGATCGTTCTAATTCTCAAAGTTCTCACTTTCTCTTGAGTTTTTTGTTTTAATTTTTTCAAGAGCTTGCACATTGTTGTTTATTTTATTATTTTCATCTTTCAACATTAGGGGTTTATAATCCTAATTTTACCTACTAAGAGACAAAGTGGGTTGCGATGATTACAATAATTCCTCGTCCTGAATGCTATCGCCATGGCATGACAGACGCATTTACACCCATAGAATATGAGCACCCACCGGATCGATAATTTCTTTTGCTATGTTATTATTAATTCTTTCTTAGGCGTCTCTCGTGTTGGTAATGCCATTTTGTTGGTCATGTTTGCCAACTAATTGATGTTAGTATTGCTACATGCCTCACAAGCACTCTGGATTTTTGTGTTTTCGTTTGCAGTTTCTGCATCGGTTTTTACTTACCTAGTTGGTTACTATAAATCCTGCTCACGCCAGCCTTCTAGTTAAGGCTCCCTATTTCCTGAAAATGCTTCTTTGAGATTGTATGCAGAGAGCTCAAACTATGAGCTTTTTTGCTAAGTTTGGGAGTTGGAGCAGGAATTTAATGTTTGTTCGAAGTGCAAACAGGCACTTGCGATTCATCAAAAATAAAAACGTTACACTGAGACTGTTATGTCGTAACCTGATTCATCAGATTCTTAGTTAACACATTATTTGAATTTTAGTAGAATTTGGACTGAATGTTATATTTAAGACAATGATTTATCACTCATAATGGGAAGAATTTATCTTTAGCTGTGGGCTGTGGTGGTGGTGGTGTTGAAAGTGCAAACTATGAATTTGGTGGGTTTGAAAGGGAATTGCTGCAACCTGAGTAGTTGTCTACTTAATTAAGTTGCTGCATATTTCGAATATATTGCCAGAAGAGTGACCTCTGGATACTGCACGAGTGACAAACCATGTAATTTTGCACCATAAGAAGATAAGCTTTAGGTGAAAGGTGTGCCATGCTTGAGTTGTGAAGATTAATTTGATGCTGACAAAATAGATTCTGTACTTGCTTAAATGCTTTCATTGTGTTTTCATTTCAAGGCAAATCCTAGGACGGGTGAGTGACAAAATGACCATTGTTTTGGCTTTCACATTTGAAGGAATGACAACGAAGTCCTTGACTAAAATGGGGATTGGGCTGGTAACTTGAGGCTCTGAGAAGTACTTAACTGCAGGGATCTATTGAGGTCATGTTTAATTTGTTGATTTATTTTACCCAATTAATAGGGGTGTTCTAGACTTCTAGTTATAACCAAAATAATCACCCTATCGGTATTAAAAGAAGAATAAAGGCTGTTTTGAGTTGATTAGAAGTTATGTCCTGACCTTGTGCTATTGTTTTCATGAAATAGTCAATACTGTAGTATTATGGAATGGTTAAGTCTCTTTTAAACTTAAATTGCATTGATGATTTCAAAATGCAAACAGGGTGTCAATACTTTTTTCTTCTGAACTTATGTGCTGGAGACGTGTTTTGAAGAATGCTTGCATCTGTTAATACACGAGCTCCTTCCAGGATTCTTTATCAAAGCCTATATTTTTATAATGTTGATGATACCTTGTGATAAAGGAGTTGGCTTTTTCTGCATGGCAATTTTGCTTATAATTGCTGTATATTTTGCCTCTCCTAAAATAGAACTCAGTGGTGATTAAAGCCCTAACCAAAAACAATGAAAAATTTCAAGGTTAGGGTTACGCACACCTCCAAATTCCAAAAGCAATCCCTTCAACAAAATTATATTTTTTTTGCATTTTCAGTTCTTGTTAACCTCTCTGCTTCCTTTAATGTTTCTGCTTGTTTGTTCATTCATCTCATTTTGGCTTGAAGGCTCTTTTTGAGGCTTCAAATAGGAAGCCAGCTCCTTTTTAATGCCAAGGAAACTCTAAAGATGGCTGGCCTTTCTGTCACAATACAAAAAGCCTGGAGTCTAAAAAAGCCTTACTACCAAGCACAAGATATGGTGGGTTTGTTTTTGTTGCACTGATACTGCAAAGTGCTAATAATATATTTTGTTTAGAGTTTGCATTAGTGGTCCTTAAGACTAGTGGATTTATGGTAGTTTATGTAGAATAATTTTTTGATGCAGTAGTTGTTTCTATAGATTTATTTGTTTTATATCAAGTCACTTCGGATAAATTCTATCTACTCGTGCAGCATCTATTTCAGAGCAAATCGAGGGAGGTTCGTGTGTATGTATGCGTGTATGATGTAATTCGGACAAGCATGACGGGCATTATCAATTTCACCACTAAAATTGCCCACAAATCATTGCATCTTCATACTACCAGGCCCAGAACCAATGCTAATTTGAGTTCATATGCATAAATGTAGACTCAATAGGAGCATAAATTGACATTGAAAAGCTAAATGTAAAAGAAATTTATAATCCTAGCTAGTTCGTTTATTTTCACTTAATAAATTTGAAGTAAAATATTTCAAATGATGAACTCTAATAGTTTGCTATAATTAACATCACTTTCCACGGTCATAAATTATCGGTATTTTTTGGAACGAACTTTCTTAAATTTAAGACAGTTTTGCATCATATCATACCTCCTGTTTCACTTTCTGCTTGCTCACTTCCACGCCTCCCGGTGCCCCGATTGGTTTGATAAATATGAATCAAATTGAGTAATATGATAGATTGATATACGCCTCTGTCTATTCAAACATTCATCATTTAGCCTCCTTGGAGTATTACTTAACCCACCGCAGTGTTGGAATCTGGCATCTCCACATTTAATCTGCTTTAACCATTACTTAACAGATTTATGACAATCCTATACTTCTGCATGAAGTTTGGCCTGCTAACCATCTGGGATAACTGGATCTCCTCTAATGACCAGTTTCTGCAGAGTGCTGGGATTCTGTTGCTGCTTTTTCGTGTGGTATAGATGCCATTTATATTGCCTCTGTTGGTGCTCATGATGATCACCTTGAGCAGTGCTGAAATCGCCCTCGCTCTGAAGTTAATGCTGAAATGTTGCGGTCCAGTTGGCACTTAAAAAATACCAATTTGAATCGATTTCTTTTGGTATTGATTACAAATGTACTTCCCTCGTGGTGCAAATTTGGCGACCCCCCGCCTCATTGAAATGTTCTCTTATTCCTGGACGAGTGTGTTTGTATGAATCTGTTCGTTGTTGTTGATGTAATGGCATATTAGTTTTTGTCAACGAACTTGAACTGTTGAACGGAGTTGGTTCTGTGAACTACTGTACTTCTCCAGTCGGTTTTTATTTGTTATATTTTCGGACACATTAATCTGTTTCTATCACAGATGGTTTCTAGACTATTTAACGGGGTTAAGATTAATATGTCGACTAAACCCTCTGTAACTTGTTGCCCCAACTGAAGCAATTCGGTTTCACTGATACGAATTTCTGCGGAAACAGCAAATAATACCTGTGGGGACTAAAGTAAAATGTCCATCAAAATTTTATGCACAACATATCACTTTCACCATTGATTTCAGAGCACATGGTGAAGGTGGAGCTCGTCTTATTGCCCCGGCCACTGCTACGTCATTAAACTCCTTAACAACCTACCAACAAGCACGCTTCCCTCCCCTCGCAGAAGCCAATCTTAAAAGACAATCCACCAAACATGTGCACATGAATTAAAGCTCAAAAAGAGAAGTCACAATCCACCGGACACATCGAAACCTCTAAATCACCACATGCAGTGCTACCTACATAGTCGGTTAAAGGTCAAACACTAAACCAAACAAACAAATTAAGCACAAATTAACATATCCGAACTCGCATGACTCAAAACTGCCAAGCATCACTTATTCTTCCCTCACAAGAGTCTAGCTAAAAACCGCTCTTGGACTGCTGCCCGCACTGCTGTTAGAAACCGACCCGAATCCCATCTTCTGAAGCACCCCAGTTGGGGAAGAGGCCGAAGAGTTCTTGCATTCACTTGCACTGCTAGAGCTGTTCAAGACCTCGCCAAGTGGCCCCGCCATGGAGGCCTCCCAGGTTACGGGTATCCAGTTTGCCTGCCTCGGGTTTGACCGGTAATGGTAGAACCGAATCCGAGCCCGAGCTCCATCTGAGTCGGATCGAGGTCTCGGGAGAGTCTGAGAGGGGAGAGAGCGAGCGTATCCGAGGCCGTGGGGATTGATATGGAGAGCTGGGTGTTGTCCTCGATGCACCGGTGAGATGGTTGATGCGACTCGGAGGGTGGTTTCTGCAGGGGGTTCAGAAGAGAGTCCGAATAGACCCCGCCGAAGTCGGGTCGGGATGGTGGGTTATACGGGTTACTGTCTTTCAGGCTGAGAGGAGACAGGATGGAGAGGCCTTCAGTTGCTTCGTGAATCCTGGAAAGAGAGCAAAACAACCAAGTCCGAGATTTAACTCTACTGAACATTTTAATCTAACAGAAGAAGACGGATACGACTCTCCTTTAATTAGGAGTCGTACAAGTGAGCTACTTATGTTTGCAAACAAGTTTTCTGTTTTTGGAAACACGAAAAACCAAAGCTGACGCTCTAGAAAGCTATTTTTGGATCGTTGTTTTTATGGTTTTTCTGCTCGTGAAATCATTTGAGATGTTTTGAAAAAAAAAACTAATCTAGGCATTTTAAAATTTTCATACAACTAAATTGTTCAGACAAAAATTCCCATAGATCAAAACATAGCGTCTCAGAAACGGAGATGTTTTCGGAAAATCTTAAAAAAAAAAGGTCTGCCCATGTTTCTGAAAACCAAAAATAATTTTCTAAAACAATTAGGGCTATCAGCTGAACTGAGGTGGTTTGACCTATAGGCTAAGTACTCTTGATCAGCATAATCATAACAGATGATGGTCACGTGACAGACACGAGCGCTCCATTCAAACCAGCAAATGGAAAACAAAAAGAATCAAAAGCAAAAGCACGACCACATGAATGGCTGAACGTGCAAAGATCAGAAGCGAAGACCACTGTAACACAACACAAGTCAAATCCAAATCAAGAAACAAATATTACGAGTAAAAAAAGGTAAAATTCAAATTTATCATATTATTTTCGAAAAACAAATCTTAAAATTCAAGAAATAAAAACCATTGCAGATGCTAACAAAGAATTTACTAAATATAAATTTCGCCGTGAACAGCTTCCGGAAACAACTGATAAGGAGATACTCCTTTTCCACAAGAGCTTATTTTCACACCCAAATCCAAACAGAATTGATTAATCCAGTTCACAATCTACTCTTGTTTTACTCACCTGTTGACGTGGGCAGAAGATGAGGGATGGGGTTGAGGCTGGAAGCTCTTCAGTTCGGCAAGGCTGTTGGAAGCGCCGCCTCCGACGGCCACCGCCAGTGACGGTGAGGACGACGAGGAGTCTATCGGCGAAAACTTGACGGCGACGGAGGCAGCGGAATTACCGGCGTGGCTTTCCACAGGCTTTCTTGAACGGTGGCGGCCCCTGTTCATGTGCCGTTCGCAGTACTTCTGGTCGGCGACGGCGTCCCGAGAGCACCTCCACTTTTTCCCGTCCGTCCGCCGACACCTTCCCGGTTCTGGATCGGCGTTGCTCGAGAATCCCAGATGGAAACCTCCCCATCCCACTATCAATGCACAACGACCAAGTATTGAAACATAAACCAAATTAGATTTGACCAACACAGTATATACAAGCCTAAAAGCATAGAATGTTTATATTTTCTGCCCCAGTTTATATTTATTGAAGATTTGAATCAAGAGAGACGCACATAGAAGCATAGACGTTCAACAAATTTTAAACCTGTATAGATTTGATATTAGAAACTCTCTTGCATTTTCAAAGAACAAAAAAGACAAAGACCAGTTTGTTAAGTTATTTTCAAAAACTGTTTTCGGAATAATATTTAGGAATGTTTCTTTTTAGAAAATAACAAAAAGTTATTTTTAAAATTCTCGAAAACTCTTGTAACTCCGAAATGAAAACATACAAAAACAGTATCCAAAATTTTCGAAGTTTTATTCTGTTTGCGAAAACACGAAGCACAAAATAGAAAACAGAATACGAAACAGAGTCGTGTTATGAAAAAACATAAACGAAGTTTTCTAAAATTCTTGCATAGACAGCTACCAAACAGTAATTTTGTTTTCAAGGCAAGCCCAAACAAGAGAGGGAGTTTAATTGTTAATTGACACTTACAATTTTACATATGAGAGAGAGAGATAGAGAGGAACTCACAAGTGCTTGGTCTAAGAGTTGCTGCTGAAAAAGCAGAGAAGCCAGCAGAATCGAGAGCTTTTCTGATGGGGAAGAGAAGATTAGAGGGAATAGGGATGTTAGCATTTATGTACTTATAGATCAGAGCCTGGTGTTCCAGCTCCATCCACTGTGAGGGAGTGAATGGCCCTCTCATCCCTGTTAAAGCCCCGTGCAGGCTTGCAGAGTTCAACCCTCCTGAAGTATAGCCTGAAACAGATAAGAGAAGGGGAAAACAGAGGATTAAGATGAAAATGTGGGAAAAGAGACAAAATAAGCCAAAATCCGGATAACCCATTTCACTGCAAACTTTATTGTCTGACTATCGCTAGGCTTAAAGAGCAAAACAAAGCAGAGAAAGAAGAATGGCAGGAAACCAAAAATATTTTTCCAACCTGTCTGCAACATTTGGGAAGAGTCTTACTTCAATAATGAACCATCAAGTCTTTGGCAGTTTTTTTTTCTTAATTTCTTATTGTGAACATTCTTGTCTTTGATAGTTGATACAAGACCAAAACAAAGCGGGCAAATGAGAAAAAGATGAGGAGAAATAGTAAGACCAATCAACAGGAAAAGAAGGAGAGGAAGAGAGGGGAAAGAAAAAACTTAATGGATTCCAAAATTACTCCCACGATGCATCCCTATTTTTGCTGCATTTATCTTCTTCTTTTGTCCACATATTTCCATTATATTGCAAAACTACCAACTAGAAAAGGAGGAAAAAGACATCAATAGAACTCTCTCCTTTCCACTCTTTCTTTCCTCTTCTTCCCCTTTTTTGACAAGACTTTGAACCCAATACTAACCGTAGATTTAGATGAAAAGACCATCCCATCAGTACGGGGAATCAAACCCAGATGATCAATAACAACCCATCTCTTCTTCAACATGTCATCTTTCTCTGTCTCCACAAAAAATACACAAAACACACGCATACAAGACAGCAATTTTCACTATCAATCCCCGCAATAAAAATTCTCGGTTTACCTGTATTTTGTGCGTAAGAAGTACTTGAGGGGTAGTGATAGTAAGGGGAAGAGAAGCTGAGCATGTGCTGACCGTCAGGGAAGAGACTACCACTGCCATTACCATTACTATTAGATCTCTGCTGCTGAAGCAGCATTGCCTTGGAAGCAGAGAAGAACTCATCGGTCTTAGCCACTTTTAAGCTCCTCAAGTCAGCTTCTGCAGCAGGTCCAGAAGAAGAAGAAGAAGACCTTTCTTGCTTGAGGAACAGATCAGATCCGTACCACTTTTGCTTTGTCTCAGGATCTGAAACAAGAGAAGAGGCAAAACAGCTGCTATCTGAGACCGAAACTGAACCCACCAACCCATCCAATCCCACCATGCCAATATCCATCATCCAGAATCAGAAGCAGAAAGAGGTGAAAAGAAAAATATCTGTGTTTGGGTCATTACAGAAACGGAATGTTGAGGCTTGAGGTGTATGGCTGAGCACTATTTTAAAGATTGGGTGTAACAGGAGCTGTGTACGTCGGGGGTTAAGCAATATCGCAGAAAAGCAAAACCGAAAACCACTCTGGTTCTCGTGTGGGAGTTGTCTGCAATTTGCAAAAACAAAAATAATTGGGAGGAGAGAGAGAGAGAGAGAGAGAGTATGCCATGTTAATATCTCAGACGGAGTAACCAAACAATACTATTTTGGCGTGTTCAAAATGTGGATATTTTGATTTTTCGAATAATTTTATTATGGAGTAAATTTTGAAGATGTTGTATCAGTCGTATAAAAAAAAACTTCTCATGCGATGATACAAAAAATTAAGATCTAGTTTTCCATTTATGAAAAAATCGCTTAAATTTTTCCGGAAATAAAAATCCTACTTATAGTTATTCCAAACACTAGCTATTTCTTTCTTTTTCCTTTCAATATTATTTATGGGCATTAAAAATATTGAAAAAAGTGTAAAACCCAAAATTATAAAATTAAATAGCAAATTCCGTTTGATGAAATAAAAAACATTGCTATGTCAAAGATTTCCTTTACAAGTGAATGAAATGATTGAGTTATAATCATGAGTCCTATAAATAATTAGTTTGATGGTGGGATGACTTACATCGAGTGTCTTCTAGAGAAAATAGGTTAGATGATGATAAATTGTGACTTCACAATGACATTCCAGAGAAAATAGGGTAGATGGGGAGAAGTTATAACTTCACGTTAGCAAAAAGATATTAGGACTATGACATATGAAATTATTTGTATGAATCATATTATATCTGAAATAGAATTGATAAAAATATAATAAAGTGAGAATTATAAATTTATGATTTTTTAGAATAATATATGTGCATTTAAATATTAAAAAATTAACAATTCTAAACAGGAGAAAATATTTTATAAAATTTTATATGAGATATTATTTATTTTTTAATAAATAAGCAATTATCAAATCTAGTACTCTAATTTATTAAATATAAAATTATAGAAGCAGGGATTTGGAAACAAACAGTTG